AAACCCACACTTGCTTTTACTGAAGCATTTGCAGTTCTTTACAACCTATTTAACAATAATCAGAGCTCTWTAATGTACTTGAAAATATATCTAAGTACTGTGTAACGAAATGAATAGTTACTACAAACCTCTGACAATAATATTACAGCCAAAATTCAAAGGCGGGTGATAGTTTTTGCTTGTGTCTTGGTTTATRTGTTAGCAAAATATCTCATGAGTCACTTGACATGAAACCCTGAAAAAAATCACCATTGGATGCACGTTTACAACTGATGACTGTTTAAATCCAAGTCAAAATGGCGGCCATAGCTTACTGAGCTGAAAATACACAAAAATGGCRRWAARCCAACCAATTTTGCAGATATTAGTRGCAGATGGTAGTAGCTAAAACTGATCCCTAATACAGAATCTGAGCACTAACAGAATGTGTAAACTCATMGTGTAAAAACATTTGCCAGTAACCACTTGGACACAGACAACTGGACTTTTTTTAATTAAAATTGTAGGAAATCACTGGACGTCCTGGTTGTTCTGTGGGTTTCTCAGCTGCTTTGTTGCTACATGAGGTATTACACTGTGCAGAGGATACTTTGTGATAAACGTATTATATGATGCAGTCAAGACTAACTTCTGGTGCTCACCGAGAAAACAGCAAACAAAATAAGGATTTTAAAAGTTTCAGTTATGATTTCAGGTAAAGTTCGGGTTAAAGTACTAACTGATGATGTTTTATTAACCCCCCAAATTAATATAATGTTTTTCAATTGTCTGGGAAATTCAGTTTTAAGTAGATCTTTTAATAAATTGCCCAGGGGAGTAGCGAATGCCCCTCTAAACAGCTTCCCTCCACAGCTGCTGTTTCTTGTAGACGTTTGCAGATTTGAGGTGGACTTCAGGTTTTCTGTTTCAAACAAATTCTAATGTTATTTTCATCGCACAACTTGTTTTCTAAAGATAAAAAAAATGATATCAAAGACAAAACTATTTGATTTGGAATGTGAATGTCTGAAAAATGATTTAGAAAACRGCACAAGGGGCACCACCTGAAATCTTGCCTAGGGCGCTAAATTGGCTAGAGCCAACCCTGGTTCAGTGCAACTCATTTCGTTAGATTTTAGCTCCAAACTTTAGCATTACCTATTGAGCTTGACATTGTCAGCAAAATATCTCATGAGGAAGTATTTTAAGGAATGTTTTTTTTAACTAAGTAATGGTGGGATGTGGCGATGAAACAGGTTACTTTCTGCCTGCAGTGGTCCTGCGCTGCCGCCAGGGGGCGACAGAACAATTCAACAATTTATTTTCTTCCAGTTAAGTGAGTCAAACTTGAATTTCTAGCTGACAGAGAGCAGCCACACATTCCACCTGTTTCCTCCGAAGGTGTGTCGCATCACAACAACAACAACAACAACAACAACACAGCGCTGCACCTGTCCTAAAGTGTGCGTGTAGGAACGTACGTCAAAATAAACTAAAGAGTGAAAGCCCGAGACAGAGGAGCGCAATGGGAACAGCGCGCGCATATGCACGCGCTCGTHCGGTCGCTCACCTTCCTTTTTTTTTTTTTTTTAGCTTCATGTTTGATCTTTGAACCTCCTCCACCTCAGCGGAGCAGGCAGAGCCGCTCAGCATCAGGAAAGCCGACTTTAAAGCCCTCTGGAGCCGCGGGGTCGCAGCTGTGTTCAAACTGCACGGATTCAAACCATTGAGGCTGACATAAATAAATGCTCGGAGGGCAGGTTTGTTTTCAGAGGAGCCCTCAGCGCTGACAAGTCGAGATGTTTCACCTGAAATGGTTCCTGACGTGCGCTTTAGCTTTCATTGGAGCGTCCKGGTGCTTAAAGGTGACCGACCAGGACGGACGCGAGTTCCTGGAGAACATTTTAGTTTATTATGGTGAGAATAAATCAGTCACCACGAARAACCTGGAAGATTTGCTGCTGCTGATCTCAGCCAGAAGGTCTGATTTAATAAGTAGAGGAAATCCCCTGGAAGACCAAGAGGTATGGAAACAATCTGACCTGCTTTGCATTTAAATTTGACCCATTTACTGGAGAGACATGATGAAATCATAGTGTTATTTATTTTTCTTGTTAAATGCATCAGTTTTTGGTTGCACACTGTATATTTAAAATTTCTGTGCTTGTTCACGTTTTGATGTTTTGCAGCTTCACATTCYGTAGTTTTATGAATTAAAGGCCAAACATTCCTCAAAAAGTTTGCACACTGCCCAGGTTTTTAAACAACAGTCATCAGGTATTTAGCCTGCAGAAATGTCATGCTCACTGCATGTGTTGTGAATGACTCTCAGCTACTACCACATCCATTTTCAGCTCAGTGTCTGTAGAACTGACTGAGGCACATCCATGTGTTTGCTAATGTTGATTCTGGTGGAGGTGTATATGCACCCGATGATTGTTTCCAGGAAATTTCATTAACGTCTATCCAGTGTTTCACAAGATATTTAGCTAACAGACAAACAGGGTAGAATCCAACAGTTTATAATCATCTTTGCCTTTCAGTGCTGGGGGATTATTCAGCTCTTTTATCAGTTTCAGTCTCACTAAGTCTCCAGAAAAATATTTCACAAACGGGACATTAAAATTTTAAAATGAGCACAAACTGGACCAAATAAAATCTTGAAGAATGAGATGTTTTTGCTCCTCAGTGTCAGTCAGCGGAGCAGATTCTGTCCCACTTTGGGTTGAGTAATGTCTCTGAGCTGACTGTGGAACATCTGGGGAGGATCTGCCCTGCTGTGTTGACCCAGGTGCTGCTGCCCTCCTGCCCCTACACCACCACTGAGAATTTGCCACCTGTCGACTACTCTGGTGAGTCACTTCGCCCTAACGTTGGTTTCTTTTCTTAACTTAAATTTAGATAATCAGTAGGTCTCAGGGGGTTCTGTTACGTGACAGAGAGGTGGTACCACTTCCATCCACGGCGGTTAAACAGAACTCTTTGGATGTGCCCGTGGTTTTCTTGTCTTTTTGCTCATAAAAAGGAAAAAGGACCAGAGAAATGAGCATTTTCTATAAACATTCAGTGGATGCTGAGTGCTGAATAACTGTTATTTGTTGAAGATGAATAACTAAAATCAGCAAAACTGTAGCTACAAGCAAAAATGTGTAAAATTGGAGCTATAAGTTAAAATTGGCAAAGGTGGAACTACAAGAAGCAAAAGCAGAGCTAAGAGCTAAAACGAGTAAAATCGTAGTTACAAGCTAAAATCAGTGCTACTGTAGCTACAAACTAGCTAGCTACTTAAAGAGTGGACTTAAAAAGCCAAACCCAGACCCAAACCAGTGGTTATTCCGTATGCTGCGGGTGTTTCGGAGAAACTGAGATGTTTATTTTCTAAACATGATGTCCCAGTGGCTTTCAAACCC